GGAGAGCAGCCAAGGAAGGAACTGGGGGGCTCTGGACTGCATCCATTTACCAACTGATAGGGAAGTTTTTCAGTATTTTAACAACCAGCTGGATATCTGTCCTGGCTATCCTACTACAAGCCCCAGGGAATCCGCTGGCATTCATCTTCATTAAGCCAATGTTGAGGGAAACTTGGAGAAACATTGCTTTGACCTAAGAGGTGATTCTATGTGAGTTAGGGATCTGGGGTTAGTGGGCATAGCATGGCCCAAATCAAAATGTCCAGGCAACCATCTCCTTTATCCTTGCTGAAGGCCTGTCCTACCTGGTCTTTCCAATACCAATACAGCCAAGAAAGGTCCTATCTCTGAGCAGCAGCCCCCACAACACAGCTTTCACAGAAGACAACAAAGCTTACTCCATAGGCTCACCCAATTTTACCTATAAGTATTTTTTTCACAAGAGCTTTGGAGGAAAAAAACCCTATCCAGACACTTAGCAATACATCAAGGATACTTGAATGCATTTGAAATATAATGAGTATGCAGCCATGAAAGACATGCCTCATAAGAATCTTTTGAAGAAATAAAACAAATGATCCTGCTTTTGTACCTTGCCTCTCTGAGGCAGGAGTGAGTTTCCCAGTGCTTTCCCCAAATAACACACTCAGGTGTAAATTACAACCGGTAACCAGGATCTTGCATAGGAAATACCATTGTTAATGCAAAGCAGGTGGACCTCCCACCTTTGGCCTGGCTGCTTCAGGCAGTGTCCCTCTCTCCAGGCTTGGTGGGGAGGCTGAGATGCCAGCCCTTTGCAGCAGACACAACCCACTTCCCAAGATAAAGAAGCAGGGAGACCTTGCACATGGTCTTCTCATCTGACCTGCAGCCAGAATTGGCCACGTGACCCAATTCTGGCCCCTGAGATATAAGGGGCAGTTGCTGGGGCTCCTGGAAAAGACTTTGCTCTTTCCTAAAATGGGAAAGATGATGAGAGGGTGACTTTGTCTCCCCGCTTCTTCACTGTGTTTGGACACTCACATGATGTGGGAATTATGCTAGGAACTGCAGAAGCTGCTTTTTGAGCAGAGACAAGACATGCTGACACACTGAAGGTGGCAGAATTGGTGGATGGAGAGAGCCTGGGCCCTTCTTAATGTGGAGGAGTTGCTGTTCAATCCCAGACACCACCTACCTCTGCAAGTTTTATCATCAGAGATGAAAACTTCTATCTTTCCCCCACTTTCACTTATGTGCTCTTACTTATAGCAAAGGCATTCTGTATTAGTCAGGACAAAGCAGACTTCCCTGCTGTAAGACTTTGGTTCACAAATCTCAGTGGTTAAGCACAAAACGTTTCTTTCTCATTCCCTTAAAGCCTGGAGAGCTGGACAGCCCTCCTCCATCTTGTGGCTATGTCAATGTGGCCTTCAAGGTCATCGAGGCAAAGGAAGAGAAAAGTGGGATTGCATGAGTTGTGTTTAAGGTCAAACTTGGAAGTAGTTGACTTCACTTCTGCTCACATCTCAAGGGCCAGACCCCATCTGACATCATGGTGGTCTGAGAGATGAAATCTCCCAGTGGCCCATAAAGCACTGTCTCTGCCATACTTCCTCACCAGCACATTACCTTGCCTATCTTTCTTCCATCAGAAAGTCTTTCACTAATTCAACAGATCTTTGTTAAACTTCCTTATGGCAGGTAAGCTACAGGGAATATAAAAGGGAAGACTTGGCTGTTTTATATATTGTCATATCCCTGGTCCTCAGAGCATCTGACACATAGGAGACACTAAATACATTACTAAATAAACATATATACATATAAAATATTAAAATATGTGTGTATATATATATTAATCTATGAATCATGTCTACCCTCCAGAAGCTTAGCATCAAACCTGACAAGAACAAGCAATGGGGAAAGCACTCCCTATTCAATGAATGGTGCTGGGATAACTGGCTAGCCATATGTAGAAGATTGAAACTGGACCCCATCCTTACATCACATACAAAACCTAACTCAAGATGGATTAAAGATTTAAATATACAATCTAAAACCATAAAAACCACGGAAGAAAACCCAGGCAATACCATCCTGGACATAGGAACAGGCAAAGATTTCACAACAAATACCCAAAATTAATTGCAGCAAAAGCAAAAATTGACAAATGGGATCTCATTAAACCAATGATGAGCTTCTGCACATCAAAGGAAACTATCAACGGAGTGAATAGACAACCTACAAAATGAGAGAAAATTTTTGCAAACTCTGCATCTGACAAAGGTCTGATATTCAACATCTATCAGGAACTTAAACAAATTTACAAGAAAAAAACAAAAACAAATAACTTCATTGAAAAATGGGCAAAGGACATGAACAGATACTTTTCAAGGGAAGACATACATGCAGCCGAGAATCATATGAAAAAAAGCTCAATATCACTGATCATTAGAGAAATGCAAATCAAAATTACAATGAGATACCATCTCACATCAGTCAGAATGGCTATTATCAAAAAGTAAAAAAGCAACAGATGCTGGTGAGGTTGGGGAGAAAAAGGAACATTTATACACTCTTGGTGGGAGTGTAAATTAGTTCAGCCACGATGGAAAACAGTGTGGCAATTCCTCAAAAACCTAAAAACAGAATATCATTCAACTTAGCAATCCCATTACTGGGTATATACCTAAAGGAATATAAATTGTTCTATTATAAAGATATATGCACATACGTTCATTGCAGCACTATTCACAATAGCAAAGACATGGAATCAACCTAAATGCCCATCAGTGGCAGACTGGATAAAGAAAATGTAGTACATATACACCCTGGAATACTATGCAGCCATAAAAAAGAACGAGATCATTCCTTTACAGGGACATGGATGGAGCTGGAAGCCATTATCCTTAGCAAACTAACACAGGAAGAGAATACCAAACATCATATGTTCTCTCTCACTTATAAGTGGGAGCTGAATAGTGAGAACACATGGATACACGGGAGAGAACAACACACACTGGGGTCTGTTGGAGAGTGCAGGGTGTGAGGAGAGAGAGAATCAGGAAAAATAACTAAATAACTAATGGGTACTAGTCTTAACACCTGAGTGACAAAATAATCTGTATAACAAACCCCCATGACACAAGTTTATCTATATAACAACCTGCACATGCACCCCTGAACCTAAAATAAAAAAATTAAAAACAAAAGAATCTTCGCATCTAGCTAGGAGTAAGATGACTACATGACTGGAGTACCATGTGGCAGAGGCAGCAGCACAATGTTGTGGGTAGGGCTCAGCTTGGCCCAAAGAAATCTAGAAAGGCTTCAGAGAGGAGACAACATGTGGCTAGGGTCTTGAAGGGTGAAGAATTTGCCAAGCAGAGATAGAGGGTGAGAAGGAAGAATGGGAACCCCGGAGTACATGTGTAAATGCATGACATTATGAAAAGGCCTGGACTCTGTGTGTGGAGGGCAGGAAGAGGGTGTGGAGGGCAGAGCATCTAAGGCAGAAGTTCTCCATCTCAGCTGCACATTAGAATCACTTGGGTAGCTTTTGACAAAATACCAATGCTCGGGCTCCCCTCCAAACCAATAAAATAAGATTCTCTGGACTGGGGCTGGGTGTCAATACTTTTAAAAAGCTCCCATATGATTCTAATGGGCAACCAGGGCTGGGCATCACTGATCCAGAGGTAGGTCAGGGACAGGCTGTGAAGAGTCTTGTTTGTCCTGCTGAAATTGCAGTGGAACACTGTAGAAACATGCCCTTCCTTCTCCCTCACTAGTTTCAGACTCCTTAAAAGGAAGCCCTGTAGGATCAGATGCAGGGAGAAAAGAGTTGCCAAAATGTTTGTCATTACTTTTTCCTTCACTTATTGTTCCTTCTCTGAATGGGAAGTCCCCCTTCTCCCTTAGCTGTAGTACTCTAGGGTCTGGAGAACAGCTGTGCTGACAGCTGGCAGGAAATTTCCCAGCCTCGGGAGGCTCCTGAGACAGAGCAGGCAGATGCCCACCTCCATTCCCAGTTAACTACCAGGTATAGGGAGGCCTATCGGCTCCTGGGCCTCATTAGGTGTACAAGCAACTTCCTCTTTCACGCAGAACATCCCGCCTCACTCCCCAGATCCCCTCAGATGTGCTGATGGTAGAGAGCATCTTTGCAAGACTCTGACCAATACTACTTACTCTGGATTTGGTCATTTACCCACCAGATAGTTACAGGTTCTCCCGTTTGTGGTGCCCTACTCATTAGACTCTGCCGTCGCAGGACCACATCCCCTTTCTCCTTCTCCCACAGGGTCTTGGAGCTGTTTGCCTCCTCTCACCACTCTGCACATGTTCCCAGAATGCAGACTCATTTTACTACCAGCCTGCAGTGAATTTGCTGCAGGAACAGTTGTAGAGTGCATTCTAAAGTCAAAGAGAAGCTTTGTTTGCATTTACTGTCAAGTGTGGCAAACAGCAGCCGCTCAACATCCTGAGGCTTCCTCTGAAATTCTGTCTTTGGCCCATCTCATTAGGGCTGCAGGGCAGATGTGAGGCTTTAGTTCTGAGGCACTCGCACTGTTTCTGCCCTTTTGCGTTGCACTTTTCTCGGTTTGGATTTCCAGTTATTGAATGGTCTTTGTTCCTGAATTCATTTATTCACTCATTCATTCAGCAAATATACTGTTTACCTACGATGTGTCTGCCCATTGCTTCGAGCTGGGCATGCAAAAGTGAGTGGCGCCTCTACTCAAGGACTTACAGTCTAGAAGGAGCTATGATGGAGTAAAACCAGCAAAGGAGAGAGTGTGGTGAGTTCAGTTCTAAACTGAATTAGCTGTGTGACCAGTATAAGTTATCTAACCTCTTGAGTGAAGGTCAAACTCAATGGAAACTAGGCCAGTGGTTTTTCAAACTGGGTTCTTTGTAGCCTCTGCAGCCACTGCAGGGAACAAGAGACTGTACTGTGAGTGGGCCCTGTTCCCCCACTCCCTCTTCAATGATGGCAGGTTCTCTTGTACCTATTTCATATACTGGAGTTCTGTGAAAGATCTTGTGATGGTTAATTTTGTTGATCATCTTGGCTGTGCCGTGGTACCCAGATATTCAGTCAAACATTATTCTGGATGTTTCTGTGAAGAGATTTTATGGATAAGATTAACATTTAAAAATTGGTGGACTTTGAGTAAAGCCAGTTGCCCTCCTAATGTGAGTGGGACTCATCCCATAAGTTGAAGGCCTTAATAGAACAAACACTGACCTTTTCCAAGCAAGAAGGAATTCAGCCAGCAGATGGCCTTCAGACTGACTACAGACAGCATTGCCTCTTCCCTGGGTCTCCAGCTTGACAGCCTACCCTGCAGATCTGAACTTGCCAGCCTCCATAACTGCATGAGCCAGTTCCTTGCAATAAATCTCTCTCTTTAGATATATACATCCTATTGGTTCTGCTTTTCTGGAGAACCCCAATTTCATCAGACAAAGATTCACCTACTAAACAGAACTTTACAAACTACCAGGCTAGAAGATCCTGAGGTTCTTTCCAGTTCCACTAGTTTTTTGATGCTAAGTGTTCTTGTCCTGCCTTTAGCCCACTGCCCTGCCTCAAACTCTGGCTTCTCTGTACTCCCTCTAGCCTTTTATTACACTCTAACCTTTGGATGCAGCCTCCTTCCTGGTTCCAGTTGTCAGCCTGGTTTGGGTCTTGGTTGCCTGGGTGCTGGCTTAATAACAGGTGCAATTTTAACGTGTCTACTGATTTACTGTTTTCAAAGTGTGCTGCAGACATTATCTCATTTAAGCTTCACAATATCCATTTTATATCCAAGGTTGTTGAGGTTAGAATGGCTTAAAAATGACTTGCCCAGGGCCATACAATTAGTAAATGGCAGACCCAAGAGTTGAATGTCTTTGAACTCAAAATCCTTGATGTTTCCCTCTGTCCCATGTTGTCAGATCATTTAATCTGTCACATGGGAGACCCCTAGCCATTTAGTATCTGTCCAGTATAAGGGAGCTGGAGACCCCACCACCAGGAGGAGAGTAACTTGGTCCCTGATTTCCAGGACAAGCAGGTGAAAGGACCCTTGTAATCATGAAAGGTGACCTCAGATGAATCGCAGCAGCTGCTAATCAAGCAGACACCCTCAGAGCTGGCTGGGCTTCTGGGCTCTGGCTGGCAGACTGTCCGTGATTCATGGCAATGTGGAGACTTTATGAGCCTGTGATAAAACAGTAATAATCGGCTGTGAGGTTGACACGAGATTATGGAGCCACACGGTTGAATTGAGTTACTGCACTGTCCTGGGGCTGTTCACGTGACCAAAGGCAGTGTTGCCCTAGCGAGGTATCTCTGGATATAGGGCTCAGGATGGAATCTCACCAAGACATCTTTCCTGGGATGGGGCCTAGGGAGTGGGTGGAGGATCTGAGGTGCTTCTGCCTCTGAGTCATACCTTCAGGGGCAGTGTTGTTGCTGTGTGTGGGGGCATGTATTAGTCCATTCTCATGCTACTATGAAGAAATGCCTGAGACTGGGTGATTTATTAAAAAAAAAAAAAAAAAAGAGGTTTAATCGACTCATGGTTCCGCATGGCTGGGAAGGCCTCAGGACGCTTACAATCACTGCGGAAGGCACCTCTTCACAGGGTGGCAAGAGAGAGAATGAGTGCCAGCAGGGGAAATGCCAGATGCTTATAAAATCATCAGATCTTGTGAAACTCACCATCATGAGAACAACGTGATTCAATTATCTCCCACCTGGTCCCTCACATGAAACAGGGGTTGTGTTTTTCCATTGGCCCAAGGAGTAACTCTTTAAGGGCCAAAAGCATGTTTTCTCCATTAGATGGGAGGCTGCCCTGAGGCAGAGACAGTGCCTTCCCCACTTGGGGAATTTTCAGGAGGAGGATCCACTTTTTGATTACACCATGTCCCTTGGTCCTGCCCTTGACCAAACACTTTTGTGAACTACAGCCTGAGAGTGGAGCGAAGTGAGACAAGGGTCCTCACAGGCCTGGGGCCTGGAAGTCCAGCCATGGCAAATGGGTCCCTGTGTGCTTTCTCTCCTTGAGTTGATGTTGCCCACAAGTCTATGGACCTAATGTGTTAAGGGTATGGCTCAGGGGACCCCCAAACTCCCTGACCCCTCTTGACCTTGGGTGACCAGTTCTAAGGTTACATGCCTGCCTAGTTTCTTTCTCCTGGTTTTATGTGGTCCTGTCTAGCATTCAATACATTTTATTTTTTCTTTGAGACGAGTCTTGCTCTGTCACCCAGGCTGGAGTACAGTGCCGCAATCTTGGCTCACTGCAACCTCTGCCTCCTGAGTAGCTGGAATTACAGGTGCCCGCCACCATGCCCGGCTAATTTTTGTATTTTTAGTAGAGACAGGGTTTCACCATGTTGGCCAGGCTGGTCTCAAACTCCTGACCTCAGGTGATCTGCCTGCCTCAGTCTCCCAAAATGCTGGGACTACAGGGGTGAACCACCATGCTTGGCCATTCAATACATTTTTAGGGAAGTCTTCTATCCCACCCAGTGACTGGGGATGCAAACTCTGGCCAACTCTGTCCATCTGCCCCATCTTCTCCCCAACCCTGGATGGGTCCTACCTCCCTCTGTCCTGTTCACCCACAGGGTATTTGCCTCATGTGGGCAACACCCAAATGCTGCCTGAAAATCACTTAATATTACAATTGTTTTCACTCACCTGCCCTATCCTTGTTAGCCATTGATACCAAATCTGTTTGAATAAAGGGCAGCCATCTGACATGGTAGAGATTGAGAGAGAGAGAGAGAGAGAGAGCGCATTGATGTGGTGGCACTGAAAAAGCACCTCCCAGATCTCTGCTTGTGGGGAGCACAATGGCCTCGCACCTCCAACTGAGTGCTCTGAAGTCTCTCACGGCTGCTGTGCTCCCAGCCAGTGCCTGTGCATGGCAGAGCTGCTAAAACAGGCCCACTCCCAAGACTCAGGACCCCTCTGATGGGCCACTTTGGCTGGAGAATTCTGACAGCCTCAAGGAGCTATCTCATCACTGGTTCTGCAATGGAAACTGCTCCCATGCAAGCTTCCTTCTCTCTTTCCTTCACCCTGGGGTCAGACCTACATCTGGGTCTCACAGCTCTCCTAGCCACCCCCAGCTTCCGCCATGCTTTTTCCCTTATGGGTGTTGCCCCTCCTAATTCTTGTGCACATTTAGTCTTATCCAGGAGTCTGCTTCTTGGAGGACCCAGACTAACACTTCTGCCTTTGGAGCCAGGCAGACCCAGTTTCAAATTGTGACTTCTGAAAGCTGTAGTTTCTGCATCTGTAAATCAGAGCAAATAATCTCTACCCACCCCCACTGGGCAGATGGGAGGATTACACATGTGGGTTGAAGTGGCTCACTGATACTTTTCACTCCTAAGCTTGTTTTGTACTCACTGCCTTGCCTGAGCTGATTCCACCTGCCCCTGATTTGGGTTGGCCCACCTGCCCAGACCCGGCTCCTCCCACCACTTGAGTTGCTACTGCCACCAGTCTCAGCCTACCCTCCTTAGGGCTGGAGCCTATGGAATCTCAGCCAAGCAGGTCAGGAAGACAGTGGGCTCCTCCAGGGCCTGAGCTCTTTAAGCGCGTGGGGTCCCACTCAGGATGACAGCTCATCAGCTTCCTGCTGCTTAAGCAGAAGCAGCACATTTGCCCACATTACTGCCCCACCCCATCCCACTAATGGGTGTTTTAGACGAGTTTTTCCACTTGAAGTCTTTTTTTTTAAACCTAAAAAGGGAAATTACTTGCTTAATTTAATTTGTTTAATATTCCTGCTAAAAAATGAGTTTCAATTAAGAGACCCAGAAAAATCGCAATATTCATTTAACAGTGGAATGGAATTTGAGTTCCACAAATGCATTTTTTTCTCTTTTCTGTTTTTTTTTAATAACACAAATCCAGCTAAGTAAATTACTGATCTTTATTGGATGCTTTAATTACATGTTGTTAATGGAAATATTACTGAAATTAAACTCAAATGTGTTAACCAAGGAAAATGCTTTATGTGTTACTAAAATAACCAAATTTCAAGACTTTGTCGATATGGTCAATTGAAAAAGCACCTGGGAAATTAGCCTCTTAATTGTAATACAGTAAAAGACTTTCTACTTAGGGCTGTTCTCTTAGAGCCTTGTGGTGGACAGACACTACTCTCATGAGACAGGGGCTTCATGTAGGTGGGTCAACTCTGCACATACATGTGTGCAGACCCTGCACAGAGACCCAGACTGTCAGGATGAATTAACTCTCCAAATGTCTCAACAAGCCCTTGACACATAAAGGCACAAACACAACTGAAATACATACACTATGCAAATCCAGCCAACTCCGGAGATACTCTATGAAAATTCAGAACCTTTCCATGCATCTATCCATGAAAACCTTCCTGCATTTCCTCTCCTGGAACACACATTGATATACCATATCAGAAGATCCGGCTTTGATGAAACAGGCTAGGCACTCTTAGGAGTTTCTCTGGTGTTCCAGAATGCCCACTTGCCAAGGGATTGGTGGTACTGGGGTGGTGGGGTGTATTCCATAGCTTTTTCTACTCCCCCTGGTAGCCTTTTCACGTGGTACTTCATAGAGTTCAGTTGTGTGAGGAAAAATGATTTTACTCCAGGATAACACAGTCTTGTGGGATGAGCTAGCACTACATAGAGAGTCTCATGTTTTAAACTAGCTTGACTCACTCGACATGAAGTTGTGTCTGTCTGTCATACTAAGGCTGATCAGCTCATTCTTCACCTTGTCCCTAGGAGTCTTTCTGTCTTTTCAAATTGGGCTTTAGCTATGACTTCAAAATTTCTCATGAAAACTACCCTCCACGAGGAGGCCTGGGCTGGCTGTTTCAGGGGATGCTTGTAGGATGAGGTTTTCAAACCAGCAGGCCTGGACTGGAATTTTTGCACTCCTACTTACTGTCAGCATGACCCTGGGCAGGTTGTCAACCTCTCTGGACCTCAGTTTTCTTAGCTTCTTGATGGGGATAATTATAGCTCTCTATTTCTCATAGTTGTCCCCTCCAGCTCTTTAACCTTCTCAGTGCTCTCGCTCCCTAAAAATATCCTTTTGTTGACCCAAAGCTCTTCCATCTTCCTTTCCTTCTCCTCTTTCTCTTAAAAGCTTAGCCTGGGTCAGGCCTGGTGGCTCATTCCTGTAATCCTACCACCTTGGGAGGCTGAGGTGGGAGGATGGCTTGAGCCCAGGAGTTTGAGACCAGCCTGGACAACATAGTGAGCCCCGTCTCTACGAAACATTAAAACATTAGCAGGGCATGCTGGCACATGCCTGTAGTTCCTGCTACTTGGGAGGCTGAGGCTGGAGGATCACTTGATCCTGGCAGGTCAAAGTTGCAGTGAGCCATGATTGTGCCACTGTACTCTAGCCTGGGCAACAGAGCAAGACACAAGTCTCAAAAAATAAAATAAAATAAAATAAAATAAAGAAAAGAAAAAAACCCATAATCTGCTTTCCTATACCCATGTCTTCACTTCCCAGTCAGCTCTCACATCAGTAAGTGTCCTAGTGACAAGCAACAGAACCTACTCTAGCTAACATAAGCAGAAATATAATTAATTAAAAGGTTTCAGGAATATTCCAGAAACTCTTCCAAGAGAAGCCTTGGGGTCTGTCCAGGGGGACTGGTGCCCCAAGTCTCCTACCCTGGAGGCCCTACTAACCTTGACTACTGACTGCAGAGCTGTGACTGGCACTGCTGACGATTGATTCTGGATGCCAAAGAGCCTGGAATTGCTCACCCCAAAGCTGGCAGCTCCCTATCACCCTAATTAGGAAACAGATTCCCCCCAGCACCTGTCTGCTTACCTTGCTCTCCTGCAAATCCACACTTCTCACTGGTAGGGCTGATTGGTGGAGCCCAGGTCACATGCCTGACCCAGCTGCAAGGAAGGCTGGGAAAGAGAGGATTTTTCCTTGGGGAAGGGAGACTCATAAACAAGAAATTTACCAGGCCCAGGAAGGGATGCTGGCAGGTGTGACAAGCATTTGCTGCATGACCAACCCACTACCCGTGGGTCTTGAGTCCCCCACCATGGCTCCATTGAAGTGCTCTAGGGGGAGCGGCATGTTAGGCATCTCCTCTTTGTCCTTCCATGTCCACTCCCCACCCTCTTCCACCCTGCTCTCTGCTCCCAGAGGTTGACCTGGGGATCTTGCATTTACCTGCTGTCTCACTAGCCTTGTGGCTTCCTTGTGGGTAAGGCCCATAGGGAGCCTCTACTGGAGACTGGAAGGAGGAGAGAGAGATCAGAGAATTGATCTCCACAACTCCCTACCTTTGGGGTATCGCTCTGCTGGAAGCTCACCTTCATTAGCTTCACAAGCCCTGACAGCCCCCTGCATTCAGCCCTCCCTGGCCCTGGCTTTGGTGTTCTCCTCTCTTCTTGGTGCTCTGGTCCAGGGTAGCAGCTGCCCATGCTGTCCTTCTGTGACCTCTCCCATTGTCCTGCACTCTCCTTGGGGCTTCCCTGCACCAGGCCATGCTGTTATCAAGATTCCGTTTACTCAACTCTCTGGAAATTTCCCAAGTTAAGAGCCCCATCTCTTTCCTGCCAGGACCCTGATAAGACAGCCACAGTGACCTCCACTCTGCCAAAGTCAGTGGGCACTTTTCAGTCCCGATCTTCCTCCACCTCTTGGCTGCATTTAACTTTGGGGCTCCTTCTGTAACACCCTATGCTCCCTTGGCTTCTAACTCTCTGGTTGTTTCTGCTTAGTCTCCTCCATGGTTGTCTCTCCTTCTGTCTACCTCCTAAGCATGGCTGCTCCCTGTGGTCTGTTTATGGCTTTTCTCTCTTTTTTTCTACATGATCTCTGTAGTTTAGCTCACTCACTCTTCGTTTTTAAACCTATCTTCTTGCTCATTTTCCCCAATTCTGCATCTCCAGCCTCTCCTCTGAGCTTGATTCCAGGTATCTACTGAAAGCATCTACCTAAATGTCACTTGATTATCATGAACTTAACCAAATCCAGAATGCCCCATCATCCCCTCCCACCAACCTGCTTCTCTCCCTGTGTTCCAAATCTTAAAGGCAACACACTCATTCAGTCACCCAAGATAGAAGTCTACAGTGGTCCAGGTGCTTCCTTCTCTGTCCCTGGTCTTTTCTCATCTCTTCCCTTTTTCAGTGTTTCTTAACCCAGTCCTCTCTTCTCTAACCTACTACTAGTGCCTTGATCTGGGACTTCATCATATCTTGGGTGAAGTGTAGCACACTTTTCCTTGTCAGCCTTCTAGGTTTCAGTCTTGCCCAGTGGAAACCCTCGCCCTCTTTGTTGCCAAAGGGGTGCTTCTAAAATGCAAAGCAACCAGGTTACATCCTGCTGAAAGCCCTTCGGTCCTCTGAAGGGTTGAGCCCAAGCCCCTCAGCCAGTCCCACAAAGCCCCCTATGGTGAGATCCTGTCCACCTCTTTGGCCTCATCTCACGCCACTCCCTGTCTCCAAGGATGTGCTCTAATAACCTGACCTGCTTAGAATTCCACACCTCTATGACCTCGCATATGCGATGTTCTCTAGCCCGAGTGCTATTCCCCCCTTTCCTCACCGATCACCTGCTCAGCTTTCAAGGCTCAGCTAGTGTGTCCTTTCCTCCTGAGCTGATGTCCCAAGTGTGGAGAAGGACCATGAATTTTATCTTTGCATTTATCATTCATATTGATTTTTTTCTATGTGTCTATCATCTTCACTAGACTATAATCTTTCTGGTGGGAAGCACTGTCCCTTAATCATTTCTAGCACTTAGTGTCTGGCACATGTTTATTGATCCAAATTGAACAGAAGGTATTGGATCAAAGAATCTCTAAATTCTTGATATCCTGAAGTTCTTGGGGGTAGGATTTATAAGGAGACCCTTCTGCCCTTACTTAGAGGTGGTTTGGGTTTCCCAGAGGGGGTCCTGGGAAATCAGAGAACCCCAAATCCCCTCCCCTATAACGAAGCAATCTTAGGGTTGGGGACAGTAACACACACACGTCCTAGAAAAGACAGTCGAGTTCTTACTGCTGGCCTGGAAACCTCCCTCCAGCAAGACTTAGATCTTCCTGACACCCTCCCATCTTCTTAATGCTCTGACTCTGTGGCAATGTCCTCCTTTCAGTTATCCTTCCTAGAAAATTTTGCATATTTTCAAGGTTGGATGAGGCCATAAAGCATTAAGTTTCAGAGCCAGGGTTTAGGAGTCAGACAGGCCCAGCTAAAAAGTGACACACCAGCTTGTGACCTTGGCAGTTCCCTGACCCCTCTGGGCTTGTTTCCTCATCTAGAAGATGGGGTGGTAATTATAATGCCCAGATCATGGGGTTGTTATAAGGATTAAATGAGATAATTGTGTCAAACACTAAACTCACAGCCTGGCATCTCGACAGCATGCACTGAACAGAGATTGTTACGAAGGCTTAGTCCAAATCCCACCTCCCCTGAGAAATCCTGGGTGACTCAGAGCCAGCCCACAAGAGTTTCCTTCCTCCGAAGGGTGTGAGTCTGGTCCCAATCACTCATTCCGGCATTTAATCACTCACCACTCTAGCGTTTATCATTTCCCCATATGCTAGCCATGTCTATCAGGCTTGTCTTGTCCCTCCGCACCCCCACTAGATTTTAAACCACTAGAGGACAAAGATCACGAAGCAAATAATTTCTGGAGACCTCGCAGGCACCTTGGTTGGCTTCTTCCCTTCTCTCCTTTGACTAAATACCTTTAGGTGTCCAATTTAGGGCTGGGGGTGGCGTGGGGGAGCAGGAGTATTGATTGAGAAGACCCAAATGTCTTAAACTGCATGGAGGAGGCAGGTGAAGGGGGAGGAGGAGGCAGCCCTTGAAGACTACTGCGGGTGGGGAGGGGGAGGGCACGTTAACATACTCTCCCCTGTCACAACACTGCAGGCTGAGTAGTTCCTAGAAAACACTTCGCTCCGATGATTCACAAGAAGGCTGCCAGGAGAGAAGCAAGGCAGCCTACTCCTCCTGGCGTCTGGAGAAAGATGCCTTGACATAGCCCATTTCCCGAAGCGGAGGGCACCAGCAGGCCCCTGTTTATATCCCTGAAGGGTGTCAAGGAGACACTGGCAGTTTCACGGGCTCCGGATCCAGGGAGCTAAAGCAAGATTAGGTCTCTTTTACAGCAAACCAAAGCCTGGGGATGCTTCCACAAATACCTGCCTGTGCGCACCAGGGCGCGCCCCGCTGTGTGTTTCTGTAGCTTCGTTAAGTCCAAACAGGAGCGTGAGGAGGACACCTAAAGAGCTGAGCGCACTTCGCCTCCCTCTTGGAACAGCCCCCACCTCCCACTCCCCGCTCCGGCTGGCAAAGCCAGAGCCCCCGAAGGAGGCTCCAATCTCTTCCAGCAGGAGAGATCGGAAGGAGCCCACACGCTCGCACCACTGCCGCTTGGGCCCGCGCCTTCCTCCGCAGGTTCTCGGCTGGAGCGCAACGCCCTTCTTCCCTTTCTGATATCTGCCTGGGGTGCCTGGGCGGAGCTTGGAAGCTGGATCCCTCCTCGCCACCAGACACCTGGAAGCTCAGGCTCCTCAGCTCTTGGGTGGTAGGTCATCGCAGCCCCCACTTCCAACCAACACTCCCAGCTGCGCTTGTCACGCCTGCGGCGGACAGGGCCTCCCATGCGCCTTAACTGGATGTGAAAAGTTAATTCAGGTATAAACGTGAAGACTTAATGAAAGGAGAGCGCTGCGGCTTAATTATGCCCCTTTCGGCCAAGGGAACGGGAAGAACCCCCGCAGCCCGGGGCAGCCCCGCGTCAGCAGCTCGCCCGCCAGCCGCCGCCGCCGCTGCCGCTGAGCCTTGGCCTCTCTCTGGTGCTTTTCGGGGCAGAAGGCAGGCAAGCTCCTTCCCTGTCTAAGAGGCGCCTGGGGGCTGGGGCGGAAGAGGTGCAGTATTAATTATGGCGTTTTGGAGAAGAAATCTGCAGGGGCAGCGATAAACAGATGCGTGGCATGTGCTGTACTCTTGCCAGCAGTGAGTCTGACTCCTCCCACTCACTCCCCAAATCTTCCATCTTGCTGCTTCTCCTTTGGTGTATTTGACCCTTCACTGGGTTCTAAGACATGCTCCTACCCTCAAGGCACTGGAGCATAACAGTTACTATTACTACCACTACTATCATCATCGTCGTCATCATCATCATCATCATCATCATCGTCATCATCATCATTTATTTACTGAGCAGGTCCAATGGGCAAGGCACTGTGCTAGCAACATTACAGGTTATTTAATTCCACATTGTCAGCAATTCTGTGGGGTGGGTTTTCTTGTCCCCATTTCATTGATGACGACATGGGGGGTCAAAGAGGTAAAACTAAATTGTCCATGACTGCACAGCTAAGAATCAGTAAAATTGGCCTTTGATTCTTGTTCTCTCTGACTCTGAGCTGTTATGCTGCCCACCCTATTAGCTGCCCTTTTTTTTAGAAAAAAGTCACAGCTCCAGTGATGGAAACAGCCCCAAGTCATACTCATGCGTGTGTAATTCTCTGCAGACAGCTTACGATGCTTAGAAGTTCCAAGCAGGATTGCAGGAGGCTTAAGCAGTCAGGAAGCAACTCCTGCCTTGAGTGGTTTTTTAAAAAGCACGGAGACTTCCTTCCTCATTTCCCCACCTCCAGAATCAGCACAGATTTCCTCCTCCCTCTCTCCACCATGACCCCATCCTGGGAATTCACATTTCTTCTATGATGGGAGAAAGTGACCCAACTAGCTCCTGGGACCTGGGGAAGGAAGCTGCAACCAAAGTGCCATTTTCCCATCTATGCAGAATGCCGCATCAATGATGAGTACCCTGTCATGCACGCTGGAGCAGAAGTGACCTTCATGCCCTCATTCCCCCTCCCAGAGCAGACGATACAGAGCGAGGGCCCTGGAATCTGACCTACACTGCGGCTGTGTCTTGGGGACAGAACTGTGTCAGTTAGAGTAGGGATTTTCCAGGGCAGGTCGCATCAAGAGATTTTTCCCTCCACAGCCACATTTCTGTGCTTCACTTCCACACTTCCAGCCTGAGAGTATTCAGGCTGGTCAGACACTGCCTGGAAGTCTCAAGGGCAGCTGCCATGGTCAGCAAAGCGGACTCCTAACCCAGAGAGCCACCCGATACGCTGGCAGGTGGGGAGAGGGTGGCTGGTGGAGGTTAGAGGTTCAGAGAGGTCAGGAGACATGCTCAAGGTCACACAGTAATTCAGCCCAAGCAAAACCACAAATTTGCATTTCTTGGCTCCCAGTGTAGGCCTCTGCTCCTCAGAGCTCCTGCTGAACTCCATATTTTTCCTCTCTGGGTGAGCCTTCAGCCCAGGGAACCCCCATTTTAAGGATGTGCAAATTGAGACTTAGAAAGGTAGGTTGACTTGCTCCAGACCTCCCAGTTAGTAAGTAGTGGGACCTATATTGGAAATGTGAGGCAAGTCAGGGTACCTATGGAAAAAGGGTGACTTAAGTTTCACTCAGTGTATATTTATAGGATACCTACTATGTACCAGGCAGTGCAATGAGAGTACCGCAGTAAACAAGAGAGAAGGGATCTCAGCCCTCATGGAGCTCACAGTCTAATGGGGCAGGTGCCTGTGCCTTCCATGAGACATGGTAGAAATCCGGTGTGGGTTTTGTTCACCTCTGAGTCTTCTACAGTGATGGTTCCCCACCCTGGCTGCAAAATAAGATCATCTGGGGAGTTACAGAAACAAACAATACCAGGGTCTCACTCCAGACCAACAAAACCCAAATCTCTAGGGGCGAACTCTGGGCATCAACGTGTTTCAAAAACTCTCCAGGTGATGGAAATTGACCACAAGGGTGAGAACCACTGTTCTACAGCTGCTACAAGAGCACATTGAACAAAGCAAACCAGAATGTGTGTCTTCAACTAAAGAATCTGGGGAGTGTGGCTGCCATCAAGATTGCATATTTGGGAGTAGTGGTGCCCCTCAGAAGGCAGGAGTGGAGGGTACAGAGGGCTGCTGGGGTGACCCCACACACAGGCCTCTCTCAGATGACAGAACCAAGGTGGCAGAGTGACAGGCTGATATGAATTACATTAAGGCTTCTGGCGGCCATCTGCCTGGAAAGAATTTATTTATTTATTCCAGTTTCTAAAGAAGGGACTTTTGCCAGAGTGAATTGAGATGTACCTGTAAGATTTAAAGCATGAGTTAAAATACATAAAATAGAGCATGGAGCAATTAGAGTGGCAGGAAGTGGCTTCAAGAAAGTTCATAAGCTCTGAGTGTTTAGACTGGGAAGAGACCAAATACCAGGCAGGGCCTTGCCCAAGGCATTGAAGGTCAGTAGTGAAGAGGGAAGAGAGTGTCCCGAGGTCCCTGCTCTTCCAAGTTGAATGTTGAGAGATGGTCTCTAACCACATGGAGCCCCAGGCTGAGGGAAGGCACAGCTCCGTCCTCAGGGAGCCCCCGCAGGCTGAG